ATAATCATTTAAATATGAAATACATTTAACTAACAAAAATGAGTCAATAAAATTATATTGATTTACTAACCGCAACACCAATTGCGATAAACAGAAACTCAAAACGTCCATCTCTATCTATTTTGATATGAGTTACCGACCCAGGATTTTTCAGCTTTAAATTGTGACAATAAGTCGGCAGTTGGGCAAACGATGCTTCTGGCGACCCCCTCAACAATTCCAAGGCATAACATTTGGATCTCTAAGCTTGAGAATATGAGATACTAATCTTGAACCGAGCATTCATGTCGGCTATAATTTCATGACCTTGATATACCCTACCATTCAAAAAATCAACTCAACCAGAAAACCACCCAACACCTTTTTGTTTGCCTGTCTATGGCGAGGAAAAACTTGGGTTCTTGAACATGTATGTTTATCAATAAAAGTCCTAACTTGAAACATTTCACAATCTTTTATCCTCTTTGCAATCATACGCCACGTACAGTTTTTGTCAATCCTACACTTTATTTCGAAACGATCTTTGCTTGATTTGTTAAATTTTAGTTGATATCAATCTTCCACACATTTCGTATACAAATCTATCTTCAAGTCTTCATTTGTATCAAAACAACCATCTTTCTTGATACGAATAACTTTTGTGTAACAATCAACTGCTATCTTTACCAACTCTTCTTCCGGTATCGGAAGTAATTATGGCATATTCCAGTTATACTCCCGTGTCTATTTCTTAACAACCTTTATATTGCCATGAATTTTCTTTTTCTTTTCTTCGGGGACTTCTTTTTCTTCTTCTTCAGGGTTATATGAATTACAGAATGGATGTTCAATATGTTCTTTCACAGCCGTAACTTCCTCCTCATTATCATCAACAACATCTTCCTCAGCAACGGTTGTTTCATAATCAAAATCAAGGTATTGACCAATATCAAAATCATTATTGTAATAAGCAGGGTTTGTTTCTTCTTCTTTACTTTTACCCCAAATCTGATATGAAACATCATCAAAATCCGGGTATTGACCAAGATCAAAGTCCGAGTATTGACCAAGATCAAATTTCGAATACTGACTAGTACTCACATTTTTTTCTGTTGGCTCATCATCGTCTAATTGGTCAATACGAAAACCAGAATCTGGGTCTGTAAATTGATTGAGATTTGGATTAGGGAAAAGTTGTGGATTTTGAGATTGTGTTTGGTATTGGAAATGTGGTGAAACAAAAGTTTCTTGGTGATGAAATTGTGGTGGAACCATGAAATTTTGAGGTTGATAACAACGTTGTACATTGTGAGCACCATAAACTGGGGCTGAAGAACTTAGTTGATTACTACCCGTTACTGACCCAACTTCACTAATTCTAGGTTCAACAACATACAATGTAACATCATCTTGCAAAACACTAATGTAAGCAATGAATCGTTCAACATCTTCATTGTCGGTTAACAAATAAACTTCACCCTTTCTCTGATAAGATAGCCTAAATCCACTTAGAGGCTCTAAACTCAATTTCTTTGAAACACGTAACATTAGATTTTCATAAGTTAACTTTTTTAATGACAGTTTTAGTTGAAGATTCATAGGTAAAGGTATATATTGTAAAACACCATTAACATTCTCCCATGACCCTCCATAACACAAATCTATCCAAACATGATCATAATTAGATGATTTCATTCTACAAATTGTAAATAAAGTAATTTACTAAACAAACGAGCTATAAACTAGATATCATCACTAACTTAGAGAAAAACATACCTTTATTAAGTTGATACTTGATAATTTGGGAGAGAAATCATTGAAAAATTATATAGAAATAAAATTATGTAAAAAAAATTAGAGATGGAGTCGGATGTCGTCGGATATAGGGACGGATGTCGTCGGAGAGAGTGAGATGGACTGAGTTGCAATTTAGGGGTTTAGGCTATGAGTTCTTACTGCTGCATAGTTTATATACTCAAAACATTTGTGTTGCGAAATTGAAACTCGCGTTACGAATTAGAAAATCTTATTGCGAATTTAAAAATCGAATTGCGAAAAAGAAATTTGTGTTGCGAAATTTTCAAATTCGAATTGCGAATTCGACTTCTGTGTGGCGAATTCCAAATTCGAGTTGCAAATTCAGAAACTGTGTTGCGAAATTGGATTTCGTGTTGCGAATTCGAAAATGAGTTGCGAATTCGTTGGTTATTTTTGTAAATCCAAAAAAAAAATAGTTAAAATCGTATATTATAAGGCATTTTCGGTTACTTAAGTTATTTTCTCTTAAAATAAAATGTATGCAAACAACAGGAAAGAACCTTTTACTTCACAAGCAACCAATTAGTATTTACCCTATTCGGCCCAATAGACAAACTCTATTCAAATAGATTGTTCTTTTTATCAAGTTCTCATTTCTACCTTAGGTTCCCTATTTGATTTAGCAGCACCATTTACACATTAATTCTCGTCCACTAATCAAAGAATATATAACAGTTGCCTGAGTCAATTTCTAGAACAATATTCCTACTTCAACAATTTCCAGTAGCCTATCCCCTTTTTCGACAGTTGATAGCTTTTATTCTTCCATCAATTCTGGGAGAAAATACCGCGAATCGAGAGCATTTATGATTAAAAAAACAATATGGTACAGAACCAAAACGTGTAATATTTGGTGCAATATCAATGGGCAATAGCCAATCACTTAGCACAGTAGCACAGCTGTTAGCAAGATAACAAGATTAGGCTTACAATTTGCTTAATCACAAGCAACTGCATTACATATAGACTATTAAACTAAGTTTTATGAAAACCATCGTATGTAAAACCTTTATTGTTCCAATCCAAACCATTAAACAGATGACATTAACATCCATGTTAATAATGCCAATATTAAACATCTTTATCACTCTTTCCTCCCTATCTGAGCATCAAAACCACAATGCCAACACATGAAAACTGTCCCAGACAACATCAAAAACTTCAGCAGGCTTGCATTTTCGACTCATTTTGTCTAATAACTCAAATAGCATACAACAAGACAGGAATTTATAAAGCCTGGGGATGGTCATAAACGTCACAACTACTGATCTAACTGAAATCAAATTCTAGTTCAAATCTATTTCATTAGGGGAAAAAGGCTAGACCAAGGTGGCATCAACAAGTCGAAAAGTATTCCTCGCTAGTTCTAATAAACGTAAAATTCAATAGTTATGAACAGACAAGAAGCTTGAAGCACTAGTATAACATCCATGAATCTGAAACCCTCACCAATTCTCAATCAATTTATTATGACTATACCACCTAAACCACTAAAAAAGAATGCACTTCATTATGCAATTATATTCTCTTTCTGAAAGATACTATGGAAAAAACTTAATGTCAAAAGCGTAGACAGAGAATCAGCAAAATGACTAGTCAATTGCTCTCATGCGGCAATAAATCTTGAGAGCATTAAACTTAGCAGAAATAGGAAACTAGAAAGAATATTATAGTTCAAAATTATCATAGAATACTATCAATTTTATACAATAACTTCAAAATATTAATGATCAATGCAGAATAACAAAATTATGAGAAAGAACAGCACTCAGGAGATATAGAAACATTAATTCACCCTGAAAATAGATGCTGCTGATTCGAGAAATAACCCAAAATTCCGCCATGGAGCGTTGCGCCGTTTTTTTTGTTCGAACCGAATACCCTGTCCAAAATTCAGCCATGGAAGGACCCGAAATAAGCTTGGTTGAAGTAAGAGAAGCGCTCATGGTTACACCAGGTTGCCAAACCCTTAACCCTTGTTCTAAAACAGCTCGTTTCCCCAAACCCATTTTCAGTTCCCTCAAAATCCCACTTCCCAAGCTTCCTTCACAAAATCTTTCATCTCTGAAACAATCTTGTTTTAAACCCCAAGATTTGCCTTTGAGTATCAGTTTCCATGGGTGAAGATGCAAGGCAAGTAATTGGTCGATTTGGGTAGACAGAATGCGGGTTTTGCATGAATCGACTTGGAAGAAAATTGGAATCTTCGACGCTATCTTGAACTACACTTGCCAGATTACGCGAAGCCAGTGTTACACTCGAAGATGTCATGATTCTCGGGGGATTTTTTGTCCTGGGTTCCCCTGTTTTTGGCAAACTCGATACCGATGAATCGAAGGAAATCGAAGAGGGTTTAAAGAGTGCTCGGATAGAAATCGTGAGAAGCAAAGCTAAAAAGACGTGCCCTCGTTTGTGGATGCAGAGATTCATGGATAATGGCGACGAATTCGAGCACGAGCCACGAAGCTTTCCTCGCCTTTTGGCTATCGAGGTATGTTTTCACCAATGAGTATGAAACGATCAGAGAACATGTTTTCTCAGTTGTAGTTCATTTGGCTAGAGGGACAAAGCTTGCTTTACCACCTGCTGTGCTTGCTAGTATTTATAGAGACGTTTTTGTTGAAAAATTAATTTGTTGAATTAAAATTACACTAATTCTGTTAACTGTCCCGTCATCACTTCAATTAATAAAAAATTGTTTGATTGGATATTTAAATAGTTGAGTGATTTGATTAATAAAAATTTAAAAATGATGATTAAAATAAAAATTGATAGTTAGATGTCACTAATATAGTTTATTCTTATTTTTATAATTGTTAATATTTAATTATATTAATCAATATAATTAAATATTATAAAGGTATATTATGAGAATATTATTATTATTCTTGATAAATTAGAAACAAATTAATAATTTTAAATGCTTCTTTAGAGAAAAAATAAATAAAAGACACGCGTTTCCTCTACAACTTGCAGGTGAAGCCCTCAAACTCAATCAAGCAATGGACACGTGCTCATAAGAAGCAGGGGCAATAGTAAGCAGGGATGTATTGAAAAGTTGGTGAAAACAATCCTCTTCTTTTAAAAATATCACATTCTATATAAAAATATATATTTTTAACTTTTATTAATAATTTATTATTTTATTTTTTAAAATTTTATAATATCGTCTTTAACATAAAATTGTTAAAATTATGTATATGCTCCCTATCACAAGTTTCATTTACAAATCCACAATCATAGGTTTTAGCTATAAAATACCATTTGTTTCATTGATATGACAAAAAAAAAAAAAGGGCACTCCCTATCTACGTAACGCAGTGGAGATCCTATATGGCTGCTCAAAAAAAGAGAAGAAGAAGAAAGAGGAGGAAGAATTAGGGCTGATTTGTACATGCAATCCACACAGTTAGTAGACTTCCACATTCCATTGCTCAGATTTCTTCAACTGCCTTTTATATTCGGTCCAGTCAATACCTGAAATCATTTCCAAAACAGCATTAGATTATGGTTATATGAATAATCCATGAAGTTTCATTAGCTATTGACGTGATAAAAAAACTGGGTTCTGTGTTTTTTTTACCATCTGCAGCAGCAAGTGAGACCATTATGTCATCAATCCCCTGCTCCATGCCTTTCAACCCACACATGTAAACAAAGGTGTTATCTTTTTTGAGTAACTCCCATAGCTCTTTTGCATATTCAGCCATCCTGGTCTGTATGTACATCTTTTCTCCTTTTTCATTTGTTTGTTCTCTGCTCACAGCAAAGTCCAGCCTGAAGTTGTCTGGATTTTTCTCCTTCATTTTCTCAAATTCCTGTTAAACAATAACATTTGGACATGTCATCCAAGTTGAAAGATGCAAAACCATCACAGATTTTTTCTATTTTCAACGCTTACCTCCTTGTACAACAATGAACTACTTGTAGGAACACCGAGGAAGAGCCATGCCAGACCGTTGAACTACATGTTTTTAAGTCACTCATTAGTACTCCAAACATGTTATCGAGTTAATGTCACAGGTTATATCCGTCGCATTAATATGAAGATAACGCGATTGTTTCCTTTTTACCTTGTAGTCGTCATGCTTTTCGAAGAACATTTTCCACAAAAACCCTCGGAAGGGAGCGATTCCGGTTCCGGTAGCAAGCTGCAATGAAGCAACTGAGTGTAAAATTGTTGTTTTGGAGCAGCAGTTAATCAATATAATGGATTCTGCATTCTGCAATGATTGAATGATAATCAGATTTAGTAGTGTTCTAACAGCTTGGTAATATACAAACCATGATGATTGTGGCATTCGGATCTTTCGGCATAAGCATTTCCTTTCCAACAGGTCCTGTGATTTTAACTTCTGCCCCAGGTTTCAAGTCACCTGAAGATGAACATTCAAACGTATAGCATCAGTAGTTCAGTACTGTAAATCAATTACAAAATCCTATGTTTTTAACTTCGAATCTACTGGATATCATCTCTTAAGAATGACTGCATTAACTAATTGAACTAAACTCCAGGTTCATCATTTGACACCAGTTGTTGAAAACAATAGTAATACATTATGATGAAACATAAAAGGTCCTGCATTCTTACTCAAGAAATTTGAGCAGACGCCTTTAACAATTTCTCCTTGTTCGTTGGTGTATACCAGACGTTTCACACATAGGGATACCTGCAATAGTACAATGAGATCATAAACAACACAATGAAAATGCAAACAAAAACCAGAAGAGCCGCACTTGATTTTCATCTTAATCTGAAAAGAAAATTAAGATTTAAAGGCAAACTCAACAGTTTTAGAATCCCCAAAATCACCAAGAGCACTGCTAGCAATAGAGTATAATCTCAGCTTGTGAGGTTTCCCATTCTTGTCGACGCCATCCGGAATCACCCCAATGGATTGCCCTTCTCTGTAAGGAAGCTCTCCTGATCCGATCAAACCAGCCAATCAGCTAAGAAGAAAAGAGTTCTTTTTTAACTAGACACAAAGGGAAACCTTTCATTTCCAAAACTTAACATAAAAGTTGGTAAATGAGCATAGTACTTATGTCTTTGATTTCATAGCTATCCAAGTCTCCATTAGCATTGGATCTCTTTATCTACTACATGGAACAAAAGAAAACATCATCCAATGTTCTCTCTTCTTCTTCTTTTCACATAGACATACATGAAAATATGTTCAAGGTTTTAGTTTTAGCAGATAGTTTGCATACCCTCGGTGCTTAAGACCATATGCCAAGTCTCTCCAGGGGCATCATCACCAGTGATCTTAGTGTTTAAGAGGCATCTGCCAATGTAAGGCTCCTTTGGCTTGAACTTGTTAACCACAATACCTTCATCAGCCTTCTTGGATTCCTTCACAACTTTTGCAGGAGCTTCAGTCGTAACCTGTGCTCGAACCGAAACCAATCTCCCTCCACTTGGCACATCTCTGTAGTAAAACGAAACCTAAAGAAAAAAGAAACAGATCACCAACTGCATGTGTGAAGTTGCACATTACAAAAACGAGAAGTTATTATTACCTTCTTGAACGTGATTCTTTCAGGAGAAACGATAGATGTTCGAGTCGTAAGAGAAGTGGGCTTGGTAGATGGAAAGGAGACTGCAGCAGTTACAGCAGCCATGGCTATTGATGATGAAGAAAGAAAGAAGTAGAGGAGGAAACGTTATTTGATGGGTACAAGTTGTTGGTGAAGTAGTGAGATGGGATGAGGAAATCTAAAAGGATGTGGTTGGTTTTTTTCTCTCAATTCGATTGGGTTTGGATGATGAATTGAGTGGAGGAGATTTGAAGGCTAATGCAGTGGCCTCTATGAGGATAAGTTTATGTCTACAATGTATGACTCTCACACCACCACGGATATAAAAATTTATGTAAAGGTTGACGAACTTATAATATTTTAAAAAGATGAATTTATACAATTTTAAAAGAACAAAAAAAATTATTAATAAAAAATATGAATGTATTATTTAAAATATAAAAAAAAAATTAAAATTTTAGGGGACGACAACTGTCTTCTGCCCATCGATACACACATTTGATCTCCATGGAAGTGGAAGATGGAATAGGGGATCCAAAGATGACTTTGGGTTAACTTACTTGAGTCCACATAAGAAATCCATGGACAAATCTCCAGTCCAATTTAGAAGTTTTCATTCAGCACTCAACTAATCCCTTTATTCACTCATTTTGTTGTCTTCACCCATTATCAACTGCTGCTTACTTTCATGTAGGAAAAGCAACATGAACCGAAATTCAAGCTTGACGGGTAGAAAATCTGCTTGAATTTTATCCAATAAAAAAAACGTGGGGATTCATGCTAGGATAAATATGTTTTGGAACTTAGAAATTTTGACCAAGAGCTTATCAGTCTTCTTGGAAAAGTCCATGCTACGATGCTCTATATATTCTTTCTTCCATTTTCCTTGGGTTGAACCAAAGGATGAAAAGACTCCAATAATGTAGTAGAGCCACTCTTATTTGACTGCCAAAAGCATTTTGAATAATACAGTAGAAAAGGACGGGATCACAAATTTGACCTACTTTTGTTTGCTCATAAACCACTTGCTGCTAAGAGGAATAAATGCAGGCAGATTAATGCATTGCAGAACCAGACTGACCTTCCTTGTGGGTGACAACCTAGGCAGGCCGTTTCTAGTTTGCTGATGGAATCAGCTGAGCTGACATAAACCAAGAAAAGTAGTACTAGTAAGTTAAGGCAACTGGTTTGCAAGAGTCCAAACCTCTCATTATTTTTTTGTGGCTAGAAATATACAACCAATAAATTTAATTTATAAATCAACGTGCAGTTGTGATTCATTCGAAAGAAACAAAAAGAAAATGAGGAAAACATGACACACCTCTAACAGAACTAACTACATTCTAGCCTTACAACAGACATGCAACTATGATCAACCATGGAAGAATACTGCTAACTGTATGTACAACACATTAGAATGGTGAATTTCCAAAGAAAAACGATGGGATGTTGTTCCGAAACAGGGAGCCATGATGGGAAAAACGATTGAGTCAATGAAATGCCCTTGAACCTCTAGACTGATAGAGCTCCAATCTACTTTTGGCTTCTGGTAGAATTCTGTCTACTGTTTGATCTTGGGTCATGTTGGATTGCTTGGATGCCCATTCCAGCACCGTTAGCACTTCGGCTTGGGCGAGTTCTTCGCTATCCGGTACATGGAGGGCAATGTAGCATAGGAGAACGAATGCTGAGTGTTGAACAATTTGTTCCCCGAAATACACGAGCTGAATCAAATGCTTTGCACCTCCTGCACTAATGATTGACTTGGAGTGATCGAGATGTAGGTAGTTGTTGGTGCAAGCGAATTTGGTAAGAGCAATGGCAGCTTCATTGGAAACTTCGGCTTCCCTTTCATCAAGAAGTTTAACCAATGGAGAGATCATCCTTGTTTCTGTTGCTCGAAACGTCCTTGCCAGATTACCGATAGCCTTGATACAAGGAATTAGCAGTTCCGAATCAGCCTCCTCGATTATCTTGAACAGCTGATCTACAACGAGCGTACAAGCATGAGAGTTCGGCCTAAACGCAGACCTTCTCAAATCTGTATCCCGCTCTGCCACAGCCGTAATCTCCATCAGTGCCATAGCCGAATTAAACTGCACTTCATCGGTTCCTTTTTCTAACAAAACAGCAAAACATAACAGCGCTCTCGACTCGGTGATACTCCGACATATGGTTGAATTTCCCTTGGCTAGATGCCATAAAGCTCTAGCTGCCATGGCCTTCATATTAGCCTTGGTAGCAGTATCTTCTTCTTCCCTTCCCTTCAAATTAGACCCGGACATCGAACCATTCTGGTGGTGCTGTTGATGATGAACTTGATGGAATTGCTTGGCATTACCCTGACTGTTACTCCTAATATGATTATTACTCGGCTTTTGTGGCGCTTTCACCACTCTGTTCATTGCCAAGGTATTGGTAACCACATTATGCATCTGATTTGGCATTTGCTTCCCCGTCGGATGTGGAATCTGTTTCGGGTGATCGTCATCGTCAACATTATTCATGTTCGAATTATTACTGCTCGTCATAACCACCGCGTGGATCGACGTGACCTTGTTACTAGCAATTGCATATTTGCTGTGTTCTTGAATGGTTTCAAACGCCAAATGACTGACGAGTAACCGGATTATGTTATGCTGAGCGAACAAATCTTGACATTTTGGGTGATTAGCCGCCAGCTCGGACACCGCCCACGCCGTCACGGCTTGAACTTTCATCGGGCCTTCCTTGAGGATTTTCACAAACACTGTGCAAACACCAGCGTGGATCAAGTGCTCCACGCTTTCCGGGTCCCGACCCAGAAGGCCAATTGCTCTGGCGGCATTTTCTTGACCTTCAATGTTCCATTCTTTGGCTAATTTCAATAACAGACAAACGCCTCCTTCTTCGATAATCAGTTTACCGTACCGGTCATTGTCTCTGGCTAGAGATACAAGCGAAGCCGCCGCGTCTGACCGGTCTTCGAGTGAACCGGTGTAAAGATTCGCGATTTGTTCCCAAATTAAGCACAAAATCGGCTCGTTTGCAGCGATCGGAGGAAGGCCTAAGTACTCGTCGTCGCGATCGTCGGCGGAGGCCGAAACACGGAGAAGCCAAGAAACATCGCCGATCGAGCTCTCAAGCAAAGAATACATTTTACGGAACGCGGCGGCAGGGATGATTGTGAACACGCGCTTCATGAAGCCGTTGGCACGGCATTTGAAGACCAAAGATAGAGCTTTATCGAGGACCTGTTCGGTATCATCGATTATGCGGCGCGTAGGGCGCTGGTAAAGGTCGGAACTCGCACGCGCCGCTTGTCGGAGCAAGCCAGCAAGTTTCTCCGTCTTCGACTTAAGCTCCAAACACTCTTGCTTGAACGAACTTGCCTCATCCGCCGCTTTCGTTACTTGGTCTGCTAACTGAATTGGCCTTGCCAAGATTTGCTTCACCATATCCGCCATCACAACAGCCCAACAAAAACAAACGCAAACTTGATGGGATCAAAATATAAATAAACTAAATTGAAGAGAAAAGGGGTTGATCTTCGTTTGGTTTTTTCCCACAGGAAGTTTCTTGTAAACGGCTTGACGAGCGGAGGAAACCGAAAGAAGATTTCAACTGCCGCTTTTAGATGCTACAGGGGAATTTGGCCTCTTGGCTGTAAAGGGTCAATCGCCGTTCATGGCAGCCGAGTTTTACAAGGTCAAACGCGCTTTCACCTTCTTGTTTATGTAACATTTTTCTAGGTGAACATATCCCTCACGAATCTTGCTGTTGCTTTGTAGTTTCAAAAAATATATAAAATTAAATCGATTTCTTTTCTTAATTGAAGGAGATGGGACAGTGTTGAATTCACAAATAGAAATGTCGCTGTCATTTTTTAATTAAGATTTTAAAAAAAATCGATTTACGTGGTTGAATTTTCCTCATTTATTTTATTGTTTTTAAATAGTAACATAAACACTATTTATTAATAAATAAATGCCAACGACATTAACAGGTATCGTATTCTTCAAGAAGCTGCTTATATTTTATTTATTCGTTGGCATTACACCTCCATCAATATGAAACTTCAATTCTTCGGTGGGGAAAGGAAACCAATTGCCGCTACCTCAAGAGATTTAGCTTGGGTACACAAATAGAAAATGTTTTAATTATTATATGAATTTTAAAATTAGGATATATTTGTTTGGTTATAATTGATTTTTTGAAAAATTGAATTCTGGAATTTGAATTCTGAAAAATAAATTACATTTCTAAAAGACGTTTTTCGAAAAATGTTTTCCGTAAAATGAATTACATTTTTTTGAAAAATATCTGAAAAACGTTTTACGATGTTTGAAGGATGTTGTTTAAACATTTTTTCTAGATGAGTTTTTTAAAAATTATTTATTACAAATATTAAATATAATATCTATATTATTATAATATAATTGGTTATTTTATTATAATATAAAAATATTATTATATTATTAGAAATATTAATAAATATATTTTAATTATTTTAATAATTAATATTTTGATTAAATGATATTAATATTAAATTCATAAAATAAAATTATTTTGAGTATTTATTCTTTGGAGTGAAAAGTGAAAAGTTCGGAAAATGACTTACGAAAATCAGATCGTAAGTCATTTTCCAGAAAACACAGGAAATTCTGTTGACCAGAAAAATGTTTTATGTTGACCAACCAGTTTTTCTAAAACCAAACACTGGAAAACATTTTATGGAGAACGAATTACGTGAAACAAACACGAAAAAATATTTTCCGGAAAATATTTTCCAAAAAATAAATTATATGAAACAAACACTGGATTTCGAGAAAAATCAATTTCGTAATTCATTTTATGACAAACAAACAGACCCTTAATACAAATTTAAAATTTACAATAAAAAAATAAGTAAAAATAATATTTACATTCTCGTAAGTCATAACTATATTTAATTATGTGCAGAACTCAAATATCAAACTCATGGTTCTTAATTAGATTTTGTTTTGTCCACAGAGTCTCTTGTTCTTATCTCCTCTCTCTTTTAGCCATCAAAGGAAATTGACGTTTTGTTGATATTCTAATACATTGCCGGCTCCATGCCACGATCAATCAGGAATCAGCCCAGTGACGGATGTAGCTCATTTTCAAGACATCACGTATTTATTTTAAAATTTAATTTTTTAATTAATTTTATCTTATTTGATTTTGACCACCTAATATAACAAATTTATATTATTATATGTATATCAACTTTAAAAAAATATCTTTGAATCTACCGCTATAACTTTCTCTTTCAAACCAAACCTCTAATGTCACTGTCACATATTCCCGAGATTAAGGTACAATTAAATTGTACACACACACGTATGTTGTTGTTTTACATACCGTGCTGGAGATCCCACAAAAGAACTGTTCTTGGCAGTTACGAGTACAAACAACGAAGGGTGGTTCCTACCGGTAGCATGCGGTAGGATGAGAATTTGATTTGTTTAGGCATCAAATCTCACCCACTTTAATCTGTTCCCTTAAAGACATACCATAAATTTTAATAATTTCATACCGAATCATATGTCCACGTCTCGAGTGCATGTATAATAATTTTTACATGCATTATCTTCATTAAATTGAGTGTATTTTGAATTCGTGATATTGAATTGATGCGATTTAAGAATTGTTGAAAAATTAAAAGGAAATCAGTCGTATTTTTAAAAGACGTGTCAACCAAATAATACTTAGATCTCATTCAAAAAATCGTCTCAATTTGATCCAAGTAGATGTGAGAGGAAAGAGAGGTGGATTTCCTTGAATTTTTTATTCTCCAAACTTAAACTGTAATTTGAAGTTTATCTTTAAGGAGTTTGAGCCGTGTGTTGCATGTATCACTGTCGAATGACTTTTGGAAAGTATGTACGCAAGTAGCATAGAAAGCTACTGTTAGTCTATATTATTTTTAAAAATCTTAGTATAATTCAAACAATTCCAAAAAAAATCGTATCGGTTTATCAAATTCGGTGTATATTACATTGAAAAACCCAATTCATGAAATAAGTTATGGTGCATGGACACTTTTTTCTCATCACATTATTCTATCAATTTTACCCGGTATTTGTTCTCTTATAATATTCACATTTGTTTTACTAACGAAACTAACTACATCATCACACTGTTTCTCAGTTTCATGCATGTTAAAATATTTTGTTAACAGGAACACTCATTTGTACTTGTTGGGACAGACATTATTTTGATTACTTGCCTGTTATTGGGGAAATTATTTTGATGAATTCAACTCACCATGTCATCTATGATCCAATCAATAAGAGTCATTAATCTCAAAGTAACTTCCAATTAATTACGTACTTCTTATTTACATATTAGAAAGATGTCAAAATAATTTTATTGATTATGACCACGAAATAATTTTTCCTTTCATTGTGTGATCAATTGTGTTTCGACCCTTTGATTGTTTCCGGCTGTACCTTGGCCTTGAATAGGTTTTTTTCTGCTCTTCTTGATGTCCCTTTTATTGTCCCACCAATAATATATTAACACATGGATCGGTCTATTAATTCACCTACATGTTCTTGTTGTTAATTCACCCACTCACATTAATTGACAATTAAAAGGATTTAGTGAAAAACTCTGACTACAAATAAAATCATCCCTAACCCTAAAATAAGGAAAGGACAAGAAACCCTCCTCTCAAGCACTCCATAGTTCTCATACCTTCTTTTCTCCATCTTCTTTATAATAAACAGACAAACCTGCTATAAGGTTATGAATGAAGCTTACAGACAACAAGCACAAATTACATATATAAAAAAGAACCCACGTTTATTTCATTTGCATTGCACAAATTTTAACTTTATCCTATTGCTCAAAGCTCATGTAATGAGTATTTCACTGCTATAACTTTCAATAGTAATTTAAAAAAAAAAGTATTTCTCTGCTATAACTTTCAATACTATTTTTCTATCATTATTCAAATAATTTATATTTTTTTCCTCTTACAGTACTTCACTTCCCCTTTATTTATTTTTATCATAGAAAGGATTATAATATTACTTGTTCTATTTAAATTTATAAAATATTAATGTTATCGAAAAAATGAGATGATTAAAGAATTTTGTAATTGTTTAAATTCTTGTGTTCTTTCGTTTTTTTTACCCGGTTCTGCAACATGTTGGAGTCTACTTTTAATTAAATATATTATTTCCTTATTTTGATGTTATGGATGAATTTATTAGCAGCAAAAATCTTGCTGTTTGCAAGTTTGATTCACAATCTTATAGAAGGCTTTTATGTTTATTGTAAAGAAGATGGGGAAGAAGCAGCCATGAGAACTGTGGAGTGCTTGAGAGGAAGGCTTCTTGTTCTTCCCTTATTTTGGGGTTCGGGATAGATTTATTTGTAGCAAGAATCTTTTCACTAAAATCTTCGTGAATGGGTGAATTAACAGTAACAACGTATTTAGTGAATTAATAGATTAATTCATGTGTCAACAAACTATTGGTGAAACACCAAAAGGCACTAAAAAGGTTGAAGAATTCTATTCCTCGGCCTCTCCGTCACTTTCATAATTTTTATTTTAATAATTTTTAAATTTAATTTTATCTAAAAAAAAGAAAAGAGAAACTCTAAAAAAATGTTCCTAATGAATTTAAAACTCATAAATTAAAGAAATGTAAAAAATTAATGATAAACATTTGTTAAAAAATTAACACATATCTTCAATTAAATATTTACTATGTCTCATTAAATGTGTTTTATTGTTATATAAAAACGAAACGAAGCAATAATAGGAACAATAAGAACAAGAAATATTGCAAATTTCCAATATGAGAAGTTAAGGTTGTCCTGCTATTTATGTGGAAAACTAGGACATGGTGAGGGATTTCACCCCCAAGACTCGTTAAAAACAACAAGACTTTACTGCCACAATGAGATGCCTTATTAAAAGCACCACCTATGCATAGATCGTTTCGACCGAGCCCTTGGCTTCGGGAAGACTCTATCGAGCAGTCCATGAAACAACTAAAGGACAGATTCCGAAGAAGAAAGACAAAGGATCAAAATAGGATGAGCACGGTACTTCGAATTAGATAAACCCGCTAGTAAGACAATTATTCACAGGAGGAAATGATATAAAAAAAGACATGAAATCGATAAGGAGATGGTGGGAACCGAGGAGGAGACAACTTTAGAAAAAGGCAGATGGAACAAAGCGACCAAGACACAACCATCCGACATTTTCAAGTTTACCCAAACGCGATTCCAAGAATGACAACATCACGATATTGGCATGCCTGAAGACCGAGACCAGCTAGACACAATAAAAACCTTTAGCTGGAATGTCTGGGGCTTGGGTAACCTCAGAACAGTAAGACGTCTCAAACACAGGCTTCAGAGAGAGATCTTTACACTCTTATTTGTCTTTTCATTGTAATTAAGAGAACTGGTTATAGCCGTATTATTGAATTTGCATTTTCATTGCGACTAGGAGGATTCGATAGGATATATCCAACTATATCATCATCACGCCAACTCCATCATCCATCATTGACGCCATCTTCCACATAAAATCTATGGTTTGCGTTAACACACAAACCTACCGAGGTAAATTTTTAATTGTGTTTTTTCTCACAATCCGACCATCCGATTTCAAATCCGCTTCACCTCATTTCTCATGTTTTCATCCTCTTTCAAACGATCCATTATCCATAAAGATCAGACCATAAACACCTTGGGCACCTATTACAAGAGA